GACTCTAAAAATATAGAGAAACATGAACTTCATATTTGTTGTATATTATAGAAACTTAAAGATACAAGATTATATGCCAAGTTGAAAAAGTGTATATTCCACACTACTTAAGTTGACTTTTTAGGATACATGATTTCTAACAAAGGCCTTATGATGGATCCCAAGAAGGTCCAAACTATTATAGATTGAAAGATTCTAAGACTAATACAAGATGTGCAATACTTTTTAGGCTTTGCTAATTGCTACCAAATCTCCATCAAGAACTTTTTTCAAGTTACAACTCCACTTACAAGTTTGACTTATAAAGACAAATTTAAGTGGAATAAAGAAAAAAAAGCATCATTTGATGCTTTAAAGAAAGAGTTTACTTCTGTACCAATCTTGTATTGTGTCAATTTTTCTAAGACATTTTTTGTGAAAACAGACATATCAAACTTTATTATGTATGTCATTTTGTCACAAATGGGAACAAATGATAAACTACATCAATAGCTTTCCATTCTAAGAAATTTTTAATAGCCGAGATTAATTATGAGATCTATGATAAAGATCCTTACAATTGTGGATTCATTTTAAAAATGGCGTCATTATCTAAAAGACGCCTCAAGTCCAATTACCATGTATATTTTGAAAAAGAAATTGGAATGGCTATTGCTAAAAGACAAGAAAACTAGAGACCCTTGAAATTAGACTAGAAGCAAGAAAGGAGTTGACAAGAGTGAAGAGGGCTTCATTCTTGTCTCTATATATACTATCTAACTAGGGACTACATGGCGACATTCTATAGGACCTCCAATATGTGTTGACTTTGTAGGATACATGCCTTAACTTACAAGGCAAGTTTTTCTACGTGTAGGCCACATAGTTAGCTTGAACTTCAAGCTAACAACATGTGTGGCACATGGCCAACTTGTTGACCAAGTTTCTAATCTAAAAAGTCAATTAAAGATATCTATAAAGTCAAAGCAATGTCTATGAAGCTTCTAGGGAGCTTCTATATTAAATACTATAGAATTAACTTACTTTTACCTATTTTTACTTACTTCCATCTATTTGTATATATAATTATTAATTTACATGAGTATGTCCGTGACATCTCATTGTGTTCAAGTTTCAATATACCAAAGCAATTGAACTAATAATGGTGGGTTCAAATACGAGGAAAGACTGGTTATATGAATTGGGTCTGTTAGTGTCACAATTGACTGTACTCTAACTATCTAAAATCAATTATCAAACAACAAAACACCAAGGCTTACTACTTCCGTCTTAATTCAACACATAATCCATTCTACGACTATCAATTCAACAATACTTCCATATTCTTATCAGTTCATCTCCCACTTACTCTCTTTGTAGTTTATATATATTCAATTACTGATCTCTAGCTTACTTATTATATTCAATTTTTCAATTCATCACACAGAATTCAATATCTTCACTTAACACAATACAATTCGATAATCTCAATTCTCATGGTCATAGATTTTTTCCAAAACAATCAGTCCAAAGTCATATTCCATAATATTCTAATCACAATTTCAACAATACTTCTCTCAATCACAATTCTTCATAAGCAAATAATAAAAGCAAAGAAAATAAAGAGGTGGCATCAAGCTTATTCCGGCTTACGACTCTTACAATTTGGCTCTGATCTCCTTTTTTCACCGATCAACCTCTTTATCCTACCAAAAGATGGACTGTCGGCTAGCAGATTCTAAAGGTTATGAACCTTTGAATTCTTAACTATTTGTTCCACTAACAACCTACTGTTACCAACTAAACTACCTAACTATAAGTCTAATTCTCAAGGTTGTCAATAACCAACCAATAACTTATTACAAAATTTATTTACATATTCTACACTCGTTTTTATGATAACTTGGACTATTGTAGGCTGGAACCTTTTTCTATTTGTGAATAAATCAATCTTGTTGCTTATTGATTACATCTACCAGATTATATAAAAATCCACCTTGTATTTCACGTGTCCCTTCTTGAGCCGTATAAGACAATGAATATTTTGGAAAGAAGACAAATGCCACGTTTTTTTGTAGAAGTGGATAATAATTAAGAGTTCAAGGTGGAAGAAGTCTTAGCCTCAATGTGGTGCCAAAATAGGTTGGAATATCTTGTTCATTAGGACGGATATGATATTAGTGAACTCACATGGGAGCCATTAAAAAATCTTGCAAATACAGCAAAGCAAAATGAAGCTTTTCATTGACGAAATCCATCAAAACCAAGATGAAGAATAGTAAATCTTTGCTATAAAAAAACAAGATCAAATGAAGATAACATTCTATTTTCTATCTTGCTTTGTAGCTTATGTGTATTTGTGATGCTAAAGAAATGGAGAACCAACAACCAACAAATTCAACTCAAGAGCTTTCATTTATAGACTTACTAAATGAGACATTACAATTGCCACAACCTTCAAGACAATAAAATTGAGATAAAGATCCTCAAGAATAACATGTCCTTCCTCGATTAGATGGCGAGATACAATGTCTTCGGTATCACGACCCTAGAAGAGACTTTTGCTATTTGGTGATTTTATTAGAGGTAGAAACAACTCTTGATGGTGTTCCAAATGTTTTATATGAAGGAAGTTATGAAGGCCTCAACAATGATCAAATAATAGGGTGGTCTTCTCGCCCTGGTATGGAATACTATCAATGGTTGAGAAGGCCTATCAACCATCTTCAAAGAAAGCAAAGATCAGAGTTTGTGGCAAATACAATTCATCACATTTTGGTCTTCTTCAACATATGAAGACCACTCCTCATAAAACTCGTCTCTAGAAAGGGAGAGTAATGTCATAGACATATACATTTATTTCAATAATTACTTATATGATTAGATAGAAGTAGGTAAATATAGATTAATTTTATAAAGTCTTTTAGTAAAACTTCCTAGAAGCTTCATAGATGTGGTTTTGACTTTAGATGTGTTTATAAGTCAAAAACTTGGCAAACAAATTAATCACATGTTGGTAGCTTGTGGAACAAGTTAACTTTGTATAATAGCTTGTGGAACAAAATAACCATGTGGCGCATATATAGATAACTTGCCTTGCAACTTAAGACATGTGGCTAACAAAGTCAATATATTTTGGAGGTCCTATAAGACATCGCTATGTAGATTCTAATTAAGAGTATATATAGAGATAAGAGTGAAGCCTTCTTCACTCTTGTCAATGTTGTTCTAGTCCTTAGTCTTGTTTCAAGACTTTCTAGTATTTTTTTTTTTGGCAATAGCTATTTTAGTTAATATTACATTACCTTTGGAGTGACTTTCTAGTTTTCTTTAATGACACAAGAGTGTATCGAGGATTCTCTTTCTTTGAGATTCATATCCTTGATACAATGTCCTATAGGCCGTATGACATATGTCCAACTTGCAAGATATATGTCTAATTTATAGGATAAATTTCCATCATATGTATAGCATGGCCAACTTATAATATAATTTGCTAAATATGCAACATGTTGCTAAGTTTTTAACCTATCAATCACTTATAAAAATGTGTAAAGTTTATAATGCTTAAAATTTAGCCTATTTTTATTTACTTTTACCTATCTATTTATCTAAGTAAGTATATTAGTAAATATAACTATTTATTATACTACTTATCCAACATTGCATACTATCAACTTATCACCAAAGATAAAATATGACTAAAATAAGATGAACAATACATATTGAAAGAAGGTACATCTTTTTCAAGATGTTCACACCTTATTGCAACATTTTCTTCTAAAACTCCTCTACATAAGTGCATGTTATTTAGATATAAATAAGAATTTATTATTTTATTTGTATTCATAATATAGAATTGAAGATTATATTTTGTAATGTTAGAAGAGTCAAAAGTCCTTCTATTATCAAAAAAATATAAATTTATATGAAATATTATCAATCAAGATGTAATTTTTTTATTAAAAAAATAAAGATTAAATAATATGAAGACAAGAAGGTTTAATTATGAATTTTGGAAAGAAGTAAAATGATAGATATCAAAATTAATTGATTGATACAGTTAAATGGAAGACAAAGCAAGAACAAAAAGAATATATATTCAAATCAATCTTTCTATTGCACATTTGATTTTTTATATAGGTTTTTTTTATTAGATAATAGTATAATAGGTAGTTTTGGACTATGTATTCATTAGCAAAATTATAACAGCTCTTTTTTATTTCTAATAAATATTATGGTAAAACATAGAGTATGAAAGCATTTCCATGTCTCTCTTTAAAAAAATATTGATTAAGTAATAAAAAATAATTGGAATATAGTAAAATAAATTGATTTTTTTAAGTGAATATAAACTTATTTATAATAAAACAAACAATATGGAAAAGACTTAAGGAATACTTGGATCCAAAAGATTGACTTTTTTATTATCTAACTTAATAAAGTATTTATTGAATAACAAATAAAATTATCTAAAGATATTGGTACGTCTAATAGTTTATATATAACAATTTTTATTTATTATTAATTATATTTTTTGAAGTAATATATTAAAAGAGATAATATATATTTAACCATGTTCACCGTGATGGATATCAAAATTTATTGAAGTCAATCCTTCACCAAGACCATCAACTAGCCACAAATCATATCCTAAATACATAGTAGAAGAAATAATCAAGGTCTCTTTTGTAAATATGTATAACTAATAGTGCAATTCTCTCTTTACAACAAAACCTTAGAAAGCCACTTTGAATTACAAGAATTATTACAAAAGATTGATGCAGGGAAGCTTCTCTAGTAAGGAAGGCCTTGAAGAATCATTCAAGATTGAACACGATTTGAGAATTGGCACAGAAATTTACTGAATCTCGAAACTCCGGTTCCCTGAAAACCCCACGGATTTCGGAAGGGTTCTGGAATTGTGTTGGGTTACAGACGCCAATCCGGGTATCAATAGTCCACCCTTGCAGTTCAGTTCAACCGCCCCCGCCTCCATTCTGTCCCGTCTCTATTATAACTCTGTGTGTGTATGCGTTGCTGTGCTCTCCATCTCATTCTTGAGATGCAGCGGCAGCGGCATCGGGAGAGTTCTTTGGTCTATCCTCTGTTCCATTAGCGACGTCGTACTCTCCATTAAGACTCCTCTCCTAAACTACGATTTCCGCTGCGTTTGATCGCCTTTATTCCAACGTTGTGTTACCGGCATTTCCGTCTGTCGTCAGTTCGTTATCGTTTGTGAGAGGCACGCATGCATTTCGGATTGATGTGATTTTCCTCTTTGCCGTTGTACAGGCCTTTTATGCGTGTAGCCTGAGCTCGCTCCTCTGTAAGTTACGGTGAGTTTTTTTGATGAGAAGTCAGTTCTTCGGTGATTTGAGACTAAGTGTTTGAACTTGTTCGTACCAGATGCAGGCAGCATTTCAGTGTTGAAGAGGATGGTGTAAGCTGCTTGTCCCTGCAGGATTTATCTGTTCTAGATCCTTGAGGGGAACGAAGGAATGCTACGAAGCCATGGCGAAGTCAGAGCGCTCTCAAACGATGAGGTAGTGTTTTAACTTCTTTGAAGCCTTTTTTCTCCTCCTGCTGAACACCGCTGCTTTTGCGTAATTGTTTATGAAATGTTGCATTGTTTTCCTGTGAAACTGTTATTACGAGATTTCTCTTGCAGATAAACTGATGCAAAATGTCATGACGAACGAGCTTCTCTGGCTGAAACATTACACACGGAAATAGTGCATGATCATAGAAAGATCTGTTCGATAGCCGAGATTGAAATAGATGTGCAGCTGAATAGAATATGTGCAATCCCTCAAACATGGTGCTATTGGATGCAGGTTGAAACCATCAAAAGATTGTTTCAGTTTTTTGATGTCGAGGTCCCTCTTGATTCTTTTCATTACAAACTGCAAAGGTTGGTCTTCCTCAGCTTTCATGGAATCTAATCATGTACTTAAAAAATTTAAGGGCTGCCGGATTACGAAACTTGTGTCTCTTGATTGTGAAGTTGCGATAAGATTTACAAATGAAACGCTGGATCATATATGATCATGATAGGATAAAATTGCAGGTCTAACTGCGCCATCTTAAAAATGTGGGAACTCACGTGACACAACAGGTGCGCTGGTTCAAGCTGCGATGTATCCAGCAGTGTTTACATTCGGTGACTCACTTGTAGATAACGGAAACAATAACTATTTGGCGTCACTAGCTCGAGCTAATTTTCCACCGAATGGATGTGACTATGGAAGCGGAATTGCCACTGGACGTTTTTGCAATGGATTTACATTGTCGGACTACATTGGTACTTTTGAACCTTCGTATAATGCCATTCGTTGTCATCTAAAGCAATTCATTAATAATGATCCTTTTTGCTTGTTCTTCCTCAGAAGTTTTTTACTTATTACGTTTCACAAAAAAACTATTTAGTATTTTACCTTAAAATAATTGAACGTATCAACTGATCGAAATTAATTTTCATCATCTTATTGCAGGTTTATTTATGGGAATTGATCCTCCACCCGCATATTTTGACCATCTTACTTTCAATCTCGATATTAAAAAGGGAGTCAATTTTGCTTCCGGAGCTGGTGGAATCTTGGATGAATCTGGATATAATTATGTATGTTTGCTTTGTTTTTTGACAGGCATGATACCTCACCATGTACATAAAAGTACCATTAAAACCAAACAAGCAGTGTGTGATGTATTCATTATCAAGGAATAGTGCTCATTTGTTTATATATATATATTTACACATATCATACACAAGCTGTGGAAAAAGTTTTATTACTCTAATTAAATTACAGATATTAAAATTGTTGTTTTCACTGCCTGTATTTATTTTACTTGCTAGCAATTTTTATTTTTATTTTGATGCAGCTGGAGCGGATACCAATGTCTCAGCAAATTGAATATTTTGCATTGGTTAAAGAAACATTGACACAAGAGATTGGGAATGTCACAGTGGATTCATTGTTCATGAATTCTTTGTGTATAATAGTGTTGGGATCCAATGATTACATCAACAATTACATGCTTCAGGGATCTGTAGCACGTTCCATGTTTACTCCTGATGAATATGCAGATCTCCTTATATCTACTTATTCTCAACACATTCTGGTATGTCTTTAATAAACGACTGAAGGATGTAAACAAAACATTGAATTTGATATTATACTAGAAAAGTTCAATTCCCCATTTTGGTGATGATTTCAAGCATTTGAAGATTGAAATACATATCTACTCAAATTTGTGCATATTGATAACCCCAATACTTTAGTATATTTCTTTTTAAACTATAATTTTCATTTGTTTGGACTAGCTCCATTTGTCTGCTAATAAAATTTTGAATTTAGATACACCTGTTTAGTAAGATTTGTATGATTTGAATATTTATTTCAATTTATGTGCAATTTCAAAATACATTGTTGTGCTGAACACAGAAATTATATAACATTGGAGCAAGAAAAGTCTTGATAACTTCTGCTGGACCTCTTGGTTGTTTACCATATGAAATGTGGCAAATGGGTATCAAGAATGGTGAATGCTCTGATGAAGTTAACAAGTGGGTGCAAATATACAATGAAAAACTTCTATTATTCATACAAGATATGCCTCAACAAATACCAGATCTTTATCTTCTCTATGGAAATGCATTTGACAAAGTTTATGCTTACATTCAAACACCTCATGAATATGGTATTTTATCTATTCACTCTTAATTAAGTTTATGATGATAAAAAAATTAAAGATCAACATGAATTTGGTTTACTTGGTGAATAATTCTAAGTCACTACATTATATTTCATTAATTACTAGTCTACAAACTACAAATCAAGTTTCTTTAAGTGTTTTACCTTTAAAATTGATTTTATTTTAAAAAAATATTAAAAATATTATCCTATGGTAAAAACACCTCAATGCCCTAAAAGAGTGACATAATTGTGTAGGTTTTCAATATGCCAATGTATCATGTTGTGGTGGAGGAATGTATGGTGCTGAAGCTCCTTGTATGCCAACAACCTCCTATTGCAATAACAGATCTGAGTATGTCTTTTGGGACAGATTCCATCCCTCCGATAGGTGTAATTTATTAATCAGCAGCTATTTTGTTTCTGGTGCTGCTCCTGACATTCTTCCCATGAACCTTTTAGAATTAGCTATTAAATAGATACAGCTTCCAAGGCTCCATTCTTAATGAGAAGAATAACACTGTATATGTCAGAATATTGAAGGTTTTATACATTCTTTTAAAAATAAAATAAAATAAAAACTTCAATAACAATAGTATCTTTTGTTTTGTTCTTTTTCATTCTCTTGCAAGTTTCTAAGAAATTAGCAACGAAAGTAAATAAATAAATGAATAAATAATGTTGTGCAATTAGATTGTTTGATTCATTCATTCATTTTGAAAATCCTTTGTGTAAAACTACTTAATTGGATGCACTCTAAAATAAAAGATTTCAAAAAAAATACATATGTGTGCATATATATATATATATATATATATATATATACACATACACACACACACATTATAATACAAATCTTTGTTTATTTACTTGTTTTACACAGCAAATTCACTCAAATAAATTTAGTGCACACATGTAAATTTTACAACCAAGTTTGTGATAGCCTTGCAATTATGGCATGTTATCAATAATTCCAAATATGCTAAATGTTTTTGAATTAACTGCTTGATCTTTCAAAATATATACATAAATATATGATCTTTGAAATCACATTGATAAATAGTTCTAAAAATTGGTTCATAAAGATTTTTACAGTATTATCATGGAGTGTGTGGTAATTAATTAATAAATTCAGGTATATATATATATATATATATATAGCCTTACCAATTCTAACACATTTCAATTATTTTTTTCTAATTTTTTTTAAATTTTAATATATTACACTAGAGTTGCAGATCTTGAAATACTTAATAAATTGTCTACTCTTTTCTTATGAAAACATATTCCTACGATTGCCTTTTAACTCTCTACATATAAACAGAAATTTTTGTATATTTTATAGATAATAATCACAATAATATATATATATATATATATATATGTGTGTGTGTGTGTTTATATATAATAGTTTTATGAAATAAATTCATTGTAATAAAATAAATTAGGATATTTATACTATTTAAAAATTAATATTTTTTTTAGGGTGTTGCTAATGTTGCATCAATTTTTGCTATTGCCACCACAAGTTTAAACAACTTGCGATGTACATTAAAATGCACTTTATAAAACATTGCTAATGCATTCAACAATGAATAAGATGCACTTCCTTTGTGGATGTGCATGTTAGTGTTCCATAAAGTACATTTTAGTGTGCAAATAAAGTTTAGAGCAGCTTGTGGTGGCATTAGCAACACTTTTTTTTATGTAGACACAAAATTATTTATTTAGTTTTAGTTATCAAAAACCATCATGCATGAATGCAATGCATTTTGTAAATATTTTTCTATGATATATTTGCAATAACATTCTAGAATGCACAATTTTTTCTTGTAAACTCTCATCATCCAAAAATTATTTACCAACTTATTTGAAGTATATACTTATTTATTTTGTATTCAAGATCATAACTTTTTAATTTTTATTATGGTCTAAATTTGGATTTTCAATACTATTTGTTATAGCCCCTAATAATGCTGCCACTAAAATACAGAATTTTTCTTGCATCAAATTATCAAATCAAATTTTGCCTTGTTTCTGCATTGCTGTCTACATACAATAAAAATACATGAAAGACAAATAGTCTTGTTTCAAATGTTTCAATCCTATGAAGGATAAAATTTCCATTTACATATTGCAAAAAGTATGAACTTGCCACTATTTGCTAATAATGCATAAAAAGACTGTTTCATACATTAGTAAACAGATTGTTCACTTGAGATTATCCATCAACCACCAACTCCCAGTTTAGTCCACAGTTTGAAAATTAAGGAACAATGTAGAACTTTTAGAATGTCATTGAATCCATTTTATGATGGTTATAAGTTTCACAGCCAGAAGTTGAAGAGTTTTACGCCAACTTGGGGTTTATTTAGTTTGCATACCATGGGAAATATAAGCAACATTAATCAGGGGTGGAATTAACAATTTCCCCACTTTTGAGCTTGTTTTGATCTCATGAGGCTCATATCACCAGCACTTCAGCTGAAACATGGAATTGCTTTTGATATGAATTCTGGAAAACTATTCTTTGCATGAGACGCATGCTGTTGCATTCAATTCAAGCATGCAGAGTATAGACGCTTCTTTGCTGCAGCATCCATCAAGCATCAGATTGGTGGCCTGTTTTGAGTCCTCCAAGTTGTCCCACCATGGCTCGCAGTCCACCAAAAGACTCGATTTTGTTGAGGAAAGCGTGACCAGAATGCCCACGACGGTCACTGATCGTTGCTCAAGTTGCAAAATTTAGGACAATCAACCATCATTACTGCAACAAGTGCATTGGTAGAGTAACAACAACTCTCTGTGAGTGCTTGCGAGCAGTTATCGGTAGTTTTTGTGTGCTGTGTATGAGGAGATGGCGAAGTGTCCCGTTGCAACGGTAGGAATCACTATTTCTTTCCTTCGTTTAGGGTTTTGGCAGGAACTTGTTTAACTGAAATGTTATTGTATGCGAGTTTGCTGCACTATTGTGTTGAACACTGAGCAGAGCATTGAGTCAAGATTACCCATCGAAGGATTCAGTCGCTATTCAAAGCTGGTTTGGAAGTAATGAGGCGAGGAGGCTGTGGAGAATTTCTGCAAACTCCATTGACACCAAGAGATGGTCCAATTCCGGTGAGATTAATACCATGGTCATCCTCCTCAAAACTTCTCGGATTTGATAGAATTCTTTTCCAAGTAAAGGTGACTTCCTTGGCCGACAATGACGATGTGCTAATAGTATGTGTCAATGGATGTTAAATGTGAAAACTGCAGCTTGTGCAAGCGGGATGGCGGTGATACTCCTGTATCTTTTAGCTGGAGAAGAAATTATGTACTTGCATGACTTCTGGTTGAAGTAACGTGCGCAGATGTTTGTGTGTTTACCTGACCATGGATTGAAAGCTTTTAATGAATCGAATGGAGTTGGCCGGTTATGGCATGTTGCTGTGCAGAGTGCCGTGAATTTTGAAAGTTGGGGAGCGCGTAGGTTTTGGCGGCTGACGATAATCGTGGCTTGTAGCATGATTATCTACATTATCATATGGAGCTCGCAACTGGGGCCTCCTTCAACATCCATTGTACCTGCTTACCACCTTGGATCTAAGAAATCGGGATTTGTGTTTCCCTTGCACCGCCACCGTAGTCGGTTTCCGGATGCGAGTGATGTTATGGAAGGGGGGATGCGGCGTGGACGCAGAGCAGCAAGCCGAAGGTGCATTGGGGAAGAAGCTTACCCACTGTTGAACGCCCACACTAAACGCTCCAAAAACCACCTTGACGAGTATAGCACCAGGGGTTCTTCATTACCATTCAACTTCCTTTATTACACTTGCGTATTCGGAATAGGACCGCGAGTTTTGATGTAGGTGTCGTAGGTGAATTGTTTTGAGATATTGCTGAGAAGTGAGACGTTGTCCTTGAGAGTTTTGAGATATCACTGACGTTTGTGCTAATGCAACGCAGGGAGTCGGAGGAGTTTCACGTCGAAATGAAGCTAGGTGTTCCTCCTAAGAAGTTTCACTTTCATATGGACACTGGAAGTAGGGATACGTGGGTATACTGCCAAGTTTCTCGCAATCTTGATGAGCCCCCAATTGAGTTGGTATGTGACTCGCTTCTTAGCTTTTTTTCCATAGGTCTGCCTCTCCAATGATGCTGACATTATGGGCTTTGTGTTGTCTAAGAGAAGGCTTGACATATATTCTGCTTAAGCTGCGCTCAAATCAGGATTGATGATGATGATGATGCTGCTGTTCTTGGTGATTTCCTCCAACAGAAGTTGCTCCATTTCCTAAATCAAAGAAGTCGGCATTTGCCAGAAAGCATTTCTAGAAAGTTCTGCTTAATAAGAATCTAAACGCAGGGACCGAACGGAAAGTTTGAGCCAAGAGATGAATCAAGTTACATCCAGTGCATAGGACACACTGCTTCTTTGTGTTCAGAATATCAATATGAACCTCACTTGTGCAACAGTGTTGACAAATATCACTGCGTAAACGATTTGAATTATGCAGACGATTCCACATATTCAGGTGTGTTAGTCAACGAAAGCCTCATGGTATCAACGATTGACAACAGCGATATGGATGCCATGGGTTTGTTTTGGTAATTACCGCCTTCGATATCTGTTAACTGTCGGTAAAGATAACGTGCTGTTTCGTACTAAAAGCTTTACTCATAAAGTTTGTAGAGTTCAGTCAGGTACACTAAACAGATGTTTGGATGATTATGGAGGTCTCTCAAACTCTTGGGTGGTAGACAAGGCTATCTGTAGACTTGTCAGAAGCCTTGAGTTTATAGGAAGGGTCACACTTAGTTGATTTGCAAAATGTGACCATTGAAGAAGAACCTTGGCAGAATGTATATTAGGTAATCGTTGACATTCAACAAAGGAATGTCTGTGAGACTGTGCTCCATGCTCCTGAGTTAGTATGTTTTTAGTCAAACTTTTCTGGGCCTGTGTAATGACGATAAATTTAGAAGCGCTCAAATGCTGTTATCACTAGTAACTCAAAGTTGATAGCTGCAATATTTGACACCTCATGAGAAGAACAATCAACATAACAGGTAGGATTTTGTGAATAGTACTAAAGAACACCAAAAATTGCCTACTTTTTGTTCCTGTCTTGCAGTGTGGAGAGTCATAACATGAAAGTTCCCACAAGATTAATAATGAGAATATTTGGAACCTACTTATGTAGAAAGATTAGTACTGCTGTGCACGATTGGACATTGAAACTAGTGTCAGAATTTGTGCTGATGCCAGGTGCATAAATGAAGCAAGCCACCCTTTCACTGGAACAGATGGCATCATTGGTCTAGGGAATTGCAAGAAAACTCTTGGGGACCAGTGGACAACCAACAAAGTAATCAGCCAAAATGTACTCGGAGTTTGCTTGGCAAAAGGACCTGGACCTGTGGGATACATCTCCCTTGGTGTCAACTTCAAGAAAAAGTTTGAGGAAAGCACTTCAGTTTGGTCAAAGCTAACTCCAATGAGCAGGTGAGTATCAGTGTTTTCAGCTACGTTTCAACATTCTTTAAGTGAATCTATTGGTTCAGTACTTTCCATAATTGCAAAGAATTTTCATATCAATTTTAAAGCCAATCATTGTGAAAAAAAAAAAAAAACAACAACAACAACAACAACAACAACATTAATATATATATATATATGGGGTGCAGTGCTGGAGAGTGTGCATATTCTTCCCCACTGGCATCAATTTCATTTCATGATAAGACTTTTGTATTCACTTCAGAGACAAACTTGGGTTTTGATACTGGATCTGATATGATGTATTTGGAAGCAGTCATTTATGAACCACTTCTAGACATGGTGCGCTTCTTCAATCACCTGGACATTTTTTTCTGAAGAGAGAGAGAGAGGAGGAGGGAGAGGTAGAAAACTAAGCTTTGAGGGGATTCCAAACAAGTGATTCACAGACCAACTTGAATTTTAGTGGGAGGGTGCCAATGTTTAGCCAACTATTTACTCCCACTACTAAGTAAATTTAATGTATTGCACTCATGTATTGTTGAAAATTTGTTTTAAATCTCGTGTTTACAAAAAACTGAAATTGATATTAAAATGGTACTGTGCTCTCTGGGCATTCACCTGGCAATTGTACACTGCTGATTTGTTGTAAATGGGGCAATATTTTGTAACTGTGTAAACACGTCCTTGAAATTGAAACCTGTTTCAATGAATCTTTTCAACTCTTGGATTGATTGTCTTTCACTTGTGGAACAGCTTGACTCATACGCAACAAGTAGAGGGTATGTCAGAGTGGAAGACTCAGTGGCACAAAGTTATTATGTGCATCAGAGTGAACAAAGACAATGCTGGGCACCACCTGCAAAAATGCAGAGAGCTTTGCTGGTATATAACTTTAAAAAAATAAAGATAAAATAAAAAAACCATTATTAATTTTTATTATTATTAATAACAAATGCATGTTAATATAAATATAAATGTATATTATGCTATTTTCAGCCATCAAGTTGTGCTTGAATTTGGCTTGTTAGTGTGTTTAACAAGGAATGCAGCTATAAATGTTGAAATGCACAGACCAAAGCATCACCAATTTCTCATTTTCACGCTCTTACATTCACCTTCAAGGGAATACCCAGAGCCACAGGCCATTCTTCTGATCAGAATCTAATTGTTGAACCTGCCAGTTATTTGAGTTGGAATGTAAGGACTCATGCATAGTAATCAAGCTTCACACAACTTTGTTTGGATCTATCTTTACTGCTAAGAATTGTAGTACAAATCACTTGACATTCCACTCATTTTTTTTCTATTACTTTTACTCTTTTTTTTGGTAGAGTCATTCAGAATAAAAACACCCCTCCATTACTTAAACAAATTCAGAGTCCGTTGTAGTTCATGGTTTTAGATTAGAGAAGACATATCCTATAACATGGGCATATTCAAATAAACAAAGGATTTTGGCAATAGGATTGATAGAAAAAATAAAAATAAAAATAAAAATGTTGGGCCTTCACTTTAGAGGCAATCTATTGACTGACGTTTTGGTTAAAAGTCCTTAAATAGCAGCACTTTATAGCAATTTTGGCATCAAGGAGTTGTCTGCTTGAGAAGAAATTGGACAAGACAAAAATAGATGTCCAATTCTCAATTGCGTTGACAAGCTTTGTTATATTTATATTTATTTGGTCATATTTATTATATTTTAGTGACTTACATATTAATCTTTTGCACAATTTCAAGTGGAGTTATCCAAGGTCTGCTCAACCAAATAGCCATAATGTGAAGTGGCCCCAAAAATATTTGTAGAGTCTAGTGGACAATGTGAGGATGTTGTTGGCATGATATAATTTGGCAAAGCATAAAGCCTTCTTTTGGGCATTATTTATAGATTCCTTTGTATCCAGGCACCAGAGAGGAAGCTATGTGCAAACATTATCCTATCTCCAAAGGATTCCGACCTTGGAGGTGTGCTGCTCAATCCTTCCTAATAATCAACATGCCTAAGTTGACATAATGTGTAGTTTTATTCACTACATTAACCACCTGAGAGAGCTCAAATCTGGGTGATGTACAAGGAATGTTTCTGATTCTGTACAAATCATTGTCATGTTTTTATTTGTTTTTTGCAGCTATAGGAATGAAAGGTCATCTATTTGTATTTGATGTTGAGAACCAAAAAGTTCAATGGAAAGTGGATGCATGTACCTTGTAATGACCATGACAGGTTTATACATGTACCTTGTAATGACCATGACCAAGCCCGTAGACAGGGAGCAGATTCTAATAGCATAATGTTGGACATGTTGGACATTCTAATAGGGATGTTGCAATATCCTTGCTCCCTATGACTACCATCTAAAATCATGAAAGATACTGATGGCATCCATTAGTTGTTATGATGTATTAAGATTAATGTGATTCTTTTCACATAAATTACTTGGTCCTTGATCAGTTCTTCCACAATTGATCCTTGAGGTAAACAGACGTGCCTTTTATTTTTCATTTATTTTTTTGAATAAACTTGTCTATATTTTATTAATTCTGTACATCCCACTTATGTTCAGAGTCATTACCTATTTACAAACATGCAAAATGTCTGCACAACTCATTGTGCAAGTGGAACTAGCCTCCCCCACACCATGTTCCATTGTTTTGCAAATGAGGTAACTGTTCTTTGGAATCTGTCTAAACTATCTCTCTATGTGCAAATTTCTCTCTCTCTGTGCAAGTCTCTCTCTAAACTTTCATCTCTTCTGTTTCTATCAATCCATTAACTGTAGTTGCTTTTCCACATAGACATGACTCTCGGAACAAAAAAAATGCACTTTGTGATACTTGCTGACTTTTATGTGCTTTAAGTATATTTTTTCTTTTTATTTTATTTTTTGTGCTAGAAGGCTTCATGTCTAAGCATTAAGTTGTAGGTTGTTTCCAATGCAACCTATTAAAAATAAAAATATATATATATATAAAATAAAATTTAATAACCATAGGACATACCTATAGGAATCTAAAGCTTTCATTTGTATTTAAGAAACTTTCTTATAGTCCTCTAAAGAAGATATTATCAGTTTAATATGTTTTATGTATTTTCACTTCTATTTACTTAAATAATATAGGCATCTATTTTAAATAGTAATATGTATTATAAATATATCACAAATATTGTTTGTCATAAAATATTTAAAATTTAAAATTGATGTTATTTTTAAAATAAAATAAAATAAAATAAAGAAAAAAGGGATCATATTATATATATATATATATATATATATATATATCAACACTCTAATTGAACTTTAGAACAAAGCAAGGATTTCTAAAGTCACACCTCAATTACACTTAAATTATTTGTTTCGAAATGTTATTTCTTACAAAACAGATGAATTGTTTATACTAATTTAAAGTTCTAAAGGAAAAATAATTTGGTTTTTCATGGAATCAGCTATTTTATTATTGTCTTAAAAGATTAAAATTTTTAAAAAATAAAATTTCTCCACTATGTTAAAAACTTTTGTTAAACCTTCAGACTTTTGCTTTTCAAAGTGGATTTTTTAGATGTGTAATCTCATCAAATCTAGACAAAATATTTTAACCTAATGTTTCTACCTAACATTTTTACCCAACCTATCCTATTATTACCAATTCACCTAAATTATAAATCTTTGACCATAAGCCATAAAATGAGATCCAAAGTCAGATTAATTTAACTTCTAAGTTTATAAATTATATTATCCTTTAGTGAAATAATTAATATTTTTTAAATTCACTAATATATATATATATATATATATATATATATGCTCAATATCATGTGAGGATTTTTTTTTTATTCATTTTCAATAATACATTGTAGTATTTTAGAAAATTCATTGCAAAATATATTACATCTTATGTGATTTATGCATATCAATGACCCACTTGCCAAACATGCATCATTTTCAATAATACATTGTACCATTTGCAATGCATTGTTTGAAAATAGTACCAACAGCATACACACATGGTACTTACGTGATAATATGCTGTTTTGGTTCTTCAGATAGAGTGCCTGCAACAACAGATTACTAAATTTGTGTGTGTTTAACATGTTGAGTCAAATTCCAACCTTTCAGGTTTTGTTTGTCAGGTTTTGTTTGTCCAATAGTTGCATTAGTTCTTGATGTAATAATGTACATGATGTTAGTCTTTTGTAAGAATTTTAATTTTTTTATAATACACAGTATTAATATAATTAATTTTTTCTCAATAATTGATTGATTAACCATTGATGTAAACTAGCATATTAAATATTTATTACAAAAATGATAATGAGTGAATCGACTGGCTCCACGATGAAATTGTCGATTCAGCAGTGAGGTTTCGACGAGACGGTTCTACGAGGTAAAGCGAGTTGTCTGTGACCTGCGGACACGGCTTGTAATCCGGATTGGCAACCTTCGTGATTAAACTCTGCATATAGCTCGCATTGATCCAGCCTTCTTGTGTTATAGTTTGGATTTGGCGAAGTTCAGACGGTGCTCGAAGAGATTTGTGTTTTTCGTTTTTTTCTTCTGTAGTGTTTGCTATGTGCTGGTGTTAGGATTAGTCGCCGCGCTGCTCGAGGGAGGACGGAGGAAGAGCAGCAGTGTTCTTCTCTTCCTTTCCTCGGAGCAGCAGCAGCACAGGGGTTTCAGGAAAGGTGGAGCGCGGAGCCGGACTTGGTGGCGAAGCGGGCAGGAATGGACTCGAGAACTCTGTGGTTGTGGACAGCGGCTCTTGGACGCCCGCGTGGACACGGACCAACTAAGTGGACGGTAGAATTGCGAGCTTAAGTTGGTGGAAATTTTCCAGGGAATGTTCGATAAATTTGGGTTGGAACTTTCGAGACGCAGGAAGAGGCCCAGTTGGTGTCTGAATCGGCCGAATTTCTGATGAGGAGGGAGGACTACGATCCTGTGCTCCTCGGGCATTACGAATTCCTGGAGTACATTCCCGGAGTTCAGTTGTTCATTGACTTTGTTGAAATGAGTCCAAAAGGTATGCGACTTGGCGCAAGGTGACAGCAGCGGAGCGCTTCCTGAACAAATTGCCCGGCCCGCCTGAAATTCCGCCTCCCGCCATAGCCGGCATGGTGTTCACACGCATATCAGTTCAGCTGAATGAAGCGGGTCTGGGTCCGAACGAGGTCCAATGGATGCTTGATGCCCCTGCACACCTTACGGGGAGGACGGCCTACAATGCCCAGCACTTCACGCATCACTTATTCCAGACACACAATGATCTAGGTGGCTTGTTCATAGAATTTGTAATGCGTGAATCCAGAAGGTACGCGGAATTCAAAAAACACGCGCCAGCAGTGAACCTCTTCCTCAACAAATTGCCCGGCCCACCTGAAATACCGCCTCCAGCCATAGCCCACAGTGTGTTTCAAGTCCTATCAATTCAACTGGAAGCAGAAAGTCCAAGTCGGGATGAGGCCCAGTAGGCGATCGATGCGGCAGAATACCGTACGGGGAGGAGGGCCTACGATGCTCAGCACTTCCAGCATCACTTATTCTGGACTCACGATGATCTCGGTGGTTCGTGCCGAGACTTTGTTATGCGTGAATCCAGAAGGTATTCAGATCAGCGCATGACGTTAGAACTGGACGGATGGTTGTTAGAACCGCTGCCTGATCTGATCATCCTTCCTCTTCTGGACGTCTCAAGTGGGATTTGACTGACTTCTGCGCTCAAGGTAGCAGAGTTTTATCCCATTTAGACTGAAGACTCGTGGGCAGGGGCCCCCTGTACAGCGCCCACCCTAAATCTCACAGGTTTGAGGTCCCGACAAGTCTTATTCGGCAATACTCTATTGCACAATTTTTCCATTCTGTGCCATAGAATTTTTCCTGTACAATTTTGTTCATTCGGCACAACAAGATTTTCTGTTTCTTTTCTCTTTTTTGACCCCCTTTTTGACAGATATAGATGTGAGCATATATATCTTTTGAATCCGGTTTAGCAAATCTGGAACCTGAAGACTAGTATTGTGATTGACACGGCTATGATTAGGTTTACTCGTGGTCATGTTAGCCGTGTGAAGTCAGAAGCTGCTTCTGGAAATTAAGATTTATTGGACAGTTGAGATTGGGCTTCACCCCATGAACAGAAAGCCATTAACCTTTACAGAGTTTAGGGTTTAGGATTCAGTGTCAGGGCTAAAACCCGCAGGCTTGGCACATGTGAAAAATTTAAATTGTGTACAATTTAGAAACGCAGTTTTTTTCCGATGTGTCACGCAATACTTTGGATTGATTCTCTGCAACTCGAATCGATTATGTATATTGCACCGTTCTTCCATTTTGTTTCCCTTGCAAGTGTACAATAGATGTTTGTAATGTAAGTAATAAGTTAGATGTTAATCATAACTTTGTTTAGTAGTTTTTTTACATGTGTGGATAAATTCAAGGTAGACAGGGGAATGATGTTTGATGTTATGAGAGTTCGATACATTTTTTATGTAGGTTTAATACTTGCATCTAGTCTTTCGAATATTGATTTCTGTTTTTTGATATTTTATTCGACGTGGTTGCTGCTGCTGCTGCTTTACGTTGTTACGTCGGACAGATAGGTGATATTTATTTTTGTATTTGCATCTTGACATCTCATTGTGTCCAATTCAACAATGTTTTCCAATATTTGAAGAATTCTTTTGCAATATTATGGGAGGTTTGCAAATCCATATATTCATTTTTTGCAGCAAAAATCATTGTTGGTTTAGAGCTTTTTATAATATGACATATAGCCATGCATATAGCCATTTTGTTTTTTTTGTTTTTTTGTTTTGTTTTTTTGTTTTGTTTTGTTTTTTTCAAAGCATTTTGTTTTGCTTTGAAAAAAAAAAACAAAAAAAACAAAAAAAAACAAAAAAAAATGACCAAGAATTACATTATTTTTTTATATTAGTACCACATCTCACAATTACAATAATAACAACAACAAGCACATACCAATATATATATATATATATATATATATAAGATAAGAATTTCATAAATAAAGAATTTATTATTAATGTTCAAAAAATATCATTAATTCCTAGAATATTAAAGCAAAATTTAAAAGTATTCACTAAAAATTTATTTCTTTGTATATTGCTTAATTTTTATTTTGTGAAACATAGGCAATCTTTAAACAAAAATTTGGTTCTTTATATATTTAAAAATACTATTTTTGATTTTTTGTACCTTTATGCCAATATAATTAACAACTCACATTCATGAAGTATATCAATATATATATATATATTATTATACAATTACAAATAAAGATTTACAATTTATATATATATATATAAACGTTCTATATTAATAGCTTGTTAGTAATGCAAATTCAATTTATGGAAATACTACAAACTTTATTTTAAATAATTATTACTAAAATATCATTAATAAACTTAATCACTATTATAAAATAATTGCACTCTTTGATTTAAATATTTTTCTTTTTTCTTTAAAGTAACTAATCTATCAAAAATTAAGTTAATACTTGATTATTAGACTCGTTTTTAACTCAAATTCGTACATGAAATTTGAAGATCTAATGTTTTTAATTTTCAATAAAAAAATTAATATTTTTTTATTTTTTGATATATTGAAACTCAACCTTAGTAATCAGAATTTCTAAATCAACAGATCAAATTGAAAAATAAAGTCATATTTGATTATTTGAAAAAGAAGAAAAATAAAGGCTGAAATTTTTTTAAATTCAATTACCAACATACACTTCAAGAATCCCCTTTTTTTTTTTAATAATATGTCTTAAATAGAATTTAAAATTTATTAATTTACAAATTTAAAAAATACGGTCTTTAAAAAGATAGAATGATATAATGAGAATAAACTATGAAAATTAATATCCTTTAAATTCATATATATATATATATATATATATATATATCATCATCATCATTATCATCATCATCATAATTGCAGCATAATCTGTCTATTTGCATAAAAATTCAAATAAAAATTAATAAATTATCTTTCTAGAGGAATAACAATATAATATCTTCTTTGATGACAGATTTTGAAATTTAGAATGTTTTTAGAAAGTATACAAAAATCATATAGATTATGTATTAGATTAATTCAAATAAATATATATATATATATATATATATATATATATTTGAATATGCCTTTGACTAGTAGAAAATTGAAATATACTTCATTGTTGTATTTGAATTTAATAAAAATCTTTGCTTATTTTTTTATAATAAGTTAAATTCTTTTTTACATAAATATCTAGAGGTCTTATGATTTTATTATAAATATTATAGATTATGTATTTTTTTTTTGTAATAACACATAAAGAAATAAAAATTATTAAAATATTATTTTTTGAAATCAAACACATAAAAAGTATAATAAAATATATGTCTAATCATTTAATCATATTAATTAGATCTATCTAAATGTTATACTTACCAAGAATATTATTTAAAAATTGAATATAATATTTATAGTTAATTGATGTATAAAACAAGAAAATAAATGTAAATACCATCATTTAATAATTTTATTGAATATTTTATTCTTTTAAATATCAAATTATCATGTGTCTTTTGATTGCCAATTTTCATGTCACTGGTATATAATTTTTTGAAATTATGTATATAATATTATATTTGTAAAAGAAAAGGAAAATAAATAAATAAATTGTAACTGAAATATGGTTCTTTTGACATATCATAAAACTATATTTTTTCTTTCAATATACAATAAAATAAAATGCTCCTACTAACAACAACCAATATGATTTTCAACACTCTTTACAGATCGTGACAAGGTACATACCCCATACATGAATACTTAGATGCTTTAAGACAATGAAAGAAAGTAATAATAATAATAATAATAATAATAATAATAACTAAAATTAACCTGCCTAGGAATCTAAACAATAAGAAATAAAAATAAAAATGTATGAAACAATGTGGAAGGTAAAACAACGCTGCACTTGTTGTTGTTTTTGTTTTTGTTTTTTTTTTTCTTTGATTTTTCCTTCTTTAAGGCATATCATTTACTTGTGATGGGAGAGTAAAATGTATTGTAAGCCTAATAAATAAATATATATTTTTTTAAAATTGGAAGAGATGTCAGAAAGATTAATAAACTCTCTTTGAAGACATTAGCACAACAAATAGATCAAGAGTGTTTATTACTACAACAAGACAATTGTGTATATTGTCCATTGAATTTGACTTTTCAATTAGTATAAAATTGATGCCAATTATACGAAGAAACACACTAACCTAGTCAAAAAAATCTAACAATCTTTATTTGGCAAACAACAATTGAAGTGTGTCAAGATAGATTTTGGCACACTTCTTCAATGTACAACCAAACCTTTTTAAAGAAATATTAATTGTATGGTGTGTATGTATATATATATATATATATAAACACTATTCCAAGCGCGTAATGGAATTCAATGACAAACCAAATAATAACAATAATCATGATAGGGGTTTATAAGACCAATGTGTGTGAGTCCATTGAAATGGGATTGATTGATTTCCTTTGGAAGATGGCCAGGGTAGCGTGGAAAGGCAGCAGAGCAGGAACACAATTAACGGGTGGACCCAAGCCTGGACCCGGTCCACCGTAGCTCCAGCACCATCCTCGTGCGTGACGGGGGCAGCCAGGCTGACAACGTCACTCGACCATTTTCATCGCAGAATATGCCTCCCTTTCCGCAGACGAGGTCCATTATGACCGGAACATGCTGTCGGACGCATGGATATCGTCCTTGCCATTTTGGATAATGACCCGCACAGTCACTCGTATTCATCCTCTATTGAACGAAGTACGTATTAATGTATGAATTCATAGATAGGTATGAAGTATACATACGAGGCTAGTTACCAGTAAGTGAGAGTGCTTGATGAAGAAACCCTAGGCTGGAAGAAGAACTCCTTCGCCTAGTTAGTTCGTCGAGGGGTGTCAGGGGGTCCGCGTGAGGCTTGGATCGGGGGTTTTATGAGAAGAGAGTTGCGTTGATTGGATTGAGTGATTGCACAGCGTGGTAGCTGGCACTGAGAGGAATCGAACGAGTGTGAAATTGACGGAAATGGACCCTGACACCCTCAGCAAGACCTTTGTGGAGCACTACTACAACACTTTCGATACGAACCGGCCGGCGCTCATTGGGCTGTATCAGGAGGGTTCCATGCTGACGTTCGAAGGGGAGAAGATCAAAGGAGCTCAGGCCATCAGCAACAAGCTCAATGGGCTCGGATTCCAGCAGTGCAAGCACCACATCTCCACTGTGGACTGCCAGCCTTCGGGACTTTTGGATAGTATGATTGTGTTCGTGAGCGGGAATTTGCAGCTGCCAGGTGAAGAACATATGCTGAAGTTTAGCCAGGTAGGTTTGGGATCCACCTGCGAGATCTTTTTCGGCACCTGGTTTGTTTGTTTGTTTGGTTTTTTTGGGAGGGAGTGTTTACTTGCGTGTTAGTCGCGGTGATGTTCTTGACGTTGCGTGTGATGGAGGGAATAGTGAAATCTGTTCGTTTTGTATTATTTTATTTTATTTTATTTTATTCTTTTGTAGATGAATGAGCTTATGATTCGCATTCCGGTGAGTCTGGTGGGTCTTTCTTTACATACTGAGGAAATTGTTTAGTTGTTGCTGTTCTCATGTAATCTCTCGCGTGGGCGGAAGGGAATCCCAGCGTCCTTTGATATGTTAGGATTACAAGTCGGTCAGTTTGCTCTGCTTTGAATTTTCAATAGGGAATGAGAGCCAAGAAGAGTAATGTGGAAGAAATTTATGGCGCCCATGCTTTTCGCTATTGATTAGAATGGGCCGAATTATTTGTTTGCTTTGTGTAGATAATTTTCTCTGAACTTCTTTGCTACGTTGCCCCTTCTTTTCTTTTCTTTTTTGTTCTTAACGCGTCAAGAGTTTCAGCTACACGTTACTATGTTTGGTTTAATCTTTCTACGTCGAAGTGTTGTCTGTTTTGACCTCCGTCGCAGAAAAGAGTTGCATTCAATGGCTCCATATTAATGATCTACCCATTAGAATCTTCTAAACAGTGTACCTGCTTTGGCAGATGTTTCATCTCGTTCCTGCAAACGGAACCTACTTTGTTTTCAATGACATTTTCCGCCTCAACTATGCTTAAATTCGTGTCTGCGTCATCAGGAAAGTGGTTTTTTTTTTCCTATCCGTATTTGTGCAAGTTTGGTGAACGTGACGGCTGGGGTCGGACTTCGGGATCTTTGAGCTGGGATATTTTGTGCCCACTTTTTACTGGCGCCAAAGTCATGGCCGTTAGATCTAATAACAGTTGTAAGTTGGCCATTTACCGTCAGAAAAAAAATCCCATCGTCGTTCTTGATTATCATCTGGAAAATTGTCGATTGTAGTAGTTGCTTGCTTACTATCGTCAGAATTATTTGTAGGCCAACCACTTCTGTGTTTTCATGTAATTTATATTCCATGGTTGTATCTCTTCATACCATAAAACCTTCCAAGGAGTTCTCTAATGCATCTCCTGTCCACCAGGAGTTGGCTAGTTCTCATTGTTGGAACTGTATCTTTCTGGTAGGAAAATGTTTAGAGTGCGGGTTACATTGAGTCAGGAAGTTTTTCGTTTGACGTTGAATTGCAATTTCATTACCGACGAACGTCATGGATACCAGTGAAGGCTGTCTTCTCTGTGCTTTTCCCTCTCACTCACGTTTACGTGTGTACTATGTGGCAATTCTTGGTTCTGTCGTCCTTGCACGCTGATGATGCTGCTTTTATTCACCAATGCTGCCAGGCTTCGTCACAACCCATTTTCATATCTGGATTTTCACGAAATGTCCCATCACCAGATTTGACTCTCTATTCGCTGTGGTGAGTGGTTGGTGCACTTGAAAGTTGGGTATAGATAATATTGCATGCCCTTTTTTTCTTTTTTTACTCAGTATTTGATACAACTGGTGTTCCTGTTCAATGCTGGAATACATGGTGGAGAAGAGATATGCGTATGTATCGCCACTTCCATTGGTGGTTAACTGCCGTACCTGATTGAAGAACCTTGTTAGGATCACCAGTGCAAATCATGATAACGGTTTTTTCATGCCTTCAGATTCGTGCCAAAAATATTTCCATCCATGTGTAGATACTGTCGACCGAAATGATTATTTAGATGATATTTGGAAATTGTTGAGACCAATTATGATTGGAACATAGGAGGATATACAAAAATAATATAATTTTTTGTATTAAAATCCATGCATACACATTTTAAAAAATTGAATGGCTTTATGAGTGACTTCTTTTGTATTAAAAACTAATTGGCTATGATAAGGAAAATTAATTATTTAATGATTGGTTTTATTACATTTGAAGAATATTTGACAAATAACAATATTTGGCAGTATCTTGAGTCAAGGATATAATAATAGTAATATATATATATGTATATATTAAATATATTCATATAAAAGAATCTAAAAGTTGTAAGAAGTATATAAATATGTTAAGTAATAAAATAGCAACATGACTATGCTAATATATAAAGAAGTTTATTAATCACATATTAAATAAGATTTAAAGGAGCAATCAATGAGATTAATTATGATCTAAGTATTATTTTTATACATACTACTTATACAATTAAAAGTTTATTGTTTAAACTTTCAATGAATTTTATAAAGAAACTTTGTAACAAGTCTTGTTATATTAAATTTCAAAGAACTTTTTGTTGATCAACAAATCCTTGATTAATTACTACCATATTGGATTTAATCATAATAAGTTCCTAATGGTCAAAATATAACAAAGGTTAAAGGCAAGTTATTCAAAACTAAAGAGTACTAGAAATGAGTTATTTTATTCCACACTTTTCTTTGAGAGCAACCTTATTAATATTAAGTATTAAGACTTCTTATTTCTTATTCCTTCAATAAGCTATGGACCCACACATATTCACATATATTTGTTGAAATTGTTTGAAGTCTTTGTTAGTATGAGGAATAGATTATCATAGTTTTGCTTATGATAGGATTTGGAATCTCTTAACTTTGAGAGCTAGATTTTAATTTATACTTGTCAGTTGGTGAATGTATTTTTTGAATATAATGTATGTTTTACACCTAAAAGAGATGTTTTAAAACACCTAGAATGTGTTCTCTTGTTGAGTTAGATCTTTGATTGACTAACTTTGTGATTTGAATGCTAAAAGATTCCTAAAGTATTAAAAAGGCCTCTTATGGTGTTGAGAAGTGATTTGTAAGCAAAGAAGTGATACAAGAGTAGTAGATCTGATTTGTAAGGTTAATATTGTTGCTAAGACTTGTGTGAAATTTTAGAAGTGGAGTTAAAAGTGTTTTGAGAGATGAAACATGAGTTTGTTTATAAAGAGGATATTTTGAGATTTTATGACAACTATACATTTTTATTCATTTTGAAAGCCTTGGAACTCTTTTTTTTTGGTATATTTGTATACATCTCTTTTTTAGACATGGCTTCAAGTAAAGGTAAAGGCTTGAGAGCAATTGAAAAGTTTAAAAGTGACAATTTCCACTATTAGAAGATGAAAACAAAACTTTTCTTGGATTCTTTGGATTTTTGAAATATTGTAGATAAAAGTGAAGAGCTTCCAAATATGCGTGTTGATATGAAGGAGAAGAAGGAGTATAAACATCATTTAAAGAATGATTTTGGATTGATTGCAAGTAATATTGTTGAAGCCAACTTCTCTTACATTATTTCTTATAAATGATGAATAGAAGCATGGAAGACTCTTTGTAATATCTTTAAGAGCAAGAACTTGTCTAATATTATTTATATAATGAGGAAGTTCTTTACTTACAAGATGAAAGAAGTTAAAGATCTTATGGCACACATCAACAAGATAAAAGCACTTGCAAACCAACTTACAATTGTAGATAAGTCCTTAGAAGATGTTGATATTATTATGAATTTATTTACAAGCTTGTCAAAATCCTACAATTACCTCATTGTAACATTAGAGTCCATCACAATAAAAGAACTTTTAATAGACTATGTGACAGTAATATTTGGCTATGAAGTTATCAAGAAGAATGAAAAATAGCTTCAAAGTGAAGATTCAAAACTCTAATCTTAAGGCAAGAAAAACTAATCAAATTGATGAGATAATATCAAAACTTGCTTCATTTGAAAAAAACTACAATATTTTGCTTGAAATTTCTTCAAAGATAAAAAAAAAAATAGAGAGAAAGAATGCAAACAATGTGTAAGATGAGTTTGAAAGATTAGATTATGCATTTATGGCAACAAATGGGATCTCTATGGCTTCCACTTTAAGATCTTGTGGATTCAAGTTTTTGCAAGTATATGACATATTATAAGTGTTTATTTGATACTTATAAGGCTATTTTAGCATCAAATATAGTCTTAACAAACAATGACATGTATGAAGCCATTGGAATTAATTCTATTATACTTAAGGTGATTGTGAATAGATAAACTAATAGAATTATATTTAAAAATATCTTTTATATATTCAAAATAAAATAAAACCTATTTTTTATGAATAAACTTATAATGAGAGGTTTTATAATTCAATTCAACATAATTGGATCTTCTATAAAGACATTGAGTAGAAATATGGTTGCCAAAGACTTTAGAGAGAAGAATTTATATTACCTCAATTGTAAGAAGGTCAGTAGAGTGGATGTAGTTGAATTTATTATTTACATCAAATTAAGATAAATTCAATATATAGTATTGTTGCTTTGGCTATTTGAATGTGAAGAACATGACAAAGCTCAAGTCTATGGTAAGTGACTTGGATCTTGGCAAACTTAGCCAAAATACAATGCAACTTGCATATGAATGATATATATAAGGCAAACAATAAAAACACTTATTTCTAAGTGGTGTAGCAATATATCCTACTAAGTTATTGGAAATTATCAATTTTAATATATATGGACCTATGAAGACTATAAGTATTAGAAAAGTAAAGTATTTCTACACTTTTATTGATGATTTTTTTAAAAAAAATTTGATCTATATTCTTAAAGCTAAAAAAGAATATTTTTGGTAATTTAAGGAGTTTAAAATATTTTTTGAAAAAAAATTTGAGTCCAAGATTAAAGTGCTATGTATAGACAAAAAAATATAATTATATTTATCATTAAAAAAAAATATATATTTTTTAGCTTTTATACTTTTTAATTATTTTACTATGATGTTAAATTTTTTATTATAAATTTTATAAAAAACAAATTCAAATCAAAATTTAAACAAAATAATTAAAAAAATAGATTAAAATAAAAAAATAAATATTATTTTTATAATCTGAATATAAAATAATATAATTAATAATAGTTAAAGTAAATCTAATTTATAATTTAAATAAGTCCTTAATTAAACTTATTTTAATAACTAAATTGTGATTAAAGCAATTACAAAATTATGTAGCAAAGCATAGTAGAATGATTTTATCTTAAACTATTTTATTAATAAATAAATATCATTAAATTTATTTATTTTTAATTAATTAATTAAAATTTGATAATATTTATCTTATTTAAATTTATCCTATTCTTTTATTAGTTTTATATATCTATTTTTAGTATTAAAAATTATATTTCTAAAATTTGGTAGTCCAAATTATTAAAGTGATAAATTAGCCTTTACTTGAATTGTTGCAAAATACCCGAGCACATTTTTGAGGTTATCGTCAATTTGGTAACTCCAATCCTTTTCAAATTTTTTATACTTGTTTTTAAGTTATTTTTTTAGAAGTGTGAAAAATTTGAGTTAAGATTAACGGCTTATTCATTAGTTATTAAGATTTAAATCTGTTATAGGAATTACTAGGATTTGGTTTAGGGTTTGATTTAGGGTTTAGGCTTTGGTTGGAGTTTATTTAAGTTTTAGGGTTTTATTAGGGTTTGGTTAGAGTTTGATTTAGGATTTAGGATTTGGTTTAGGATTTAGGATTTGGATTAGGATTTGGATTAAGGCTTAGGGTTTGGTTTAGGATTTGGTTAGGGATTGGTCTAAGATTTAGGGTTTGATTAAGGTTTGATTAGGGTTTGATTTAATATTTAGAGTTTGGTTAGGATTTGATTTAAGATTTAGGGTTTAGGATTTTATTAGGATTTAAGATTTAATTAGTTTTGGCCTAAAGTTTGAATGAAGTTCAATAGGATTGTGACTATAATTAAATAAAGATTGAATTGGGATGTATTTGAATGATAATTGTGATCATTCTAATATTTCTTTAAGAATTCTTATTGTTGGTTTGAAATTTCTTTGAAGTTTTTTTGAACTTGATTAAGCTTGCTTAACATTATTATGGTCTAATTAGAGCATTGTTAGTATTCTATTAGAATTACGATTTTGTTATTGCAATTTCCATTTTTCCTTCCACAACTAGGTACCCGAAGCATTCTCAAGCAAGACTTCACATATTACGACAACGTCAATATTCATATTAAAATATGTGATGATACAAATAAGATCTAATTCTTAATTATTTTTTATTATCTATTATTCTAATCTACTTATTTTTAAGTCAATTATATCTTGATTTGGCCACATATCTTTTGATAGAATCAATGATATTCTTTATGGATCTCTTTCTATCAACGGTTGTTTGCTACAACTTAGTTTTTG